ATCGGGACTATATGGAGGATGGTCCTATAATTCCACGTTTTCTTCCGTTAAATACTGCTTTGTTTTTTGGGCTGTGTGGGAGCGTGCATTGTCTTGGTGGAGGATGATTCTTCTTTTGGGGTTGATTTTTCGAAGCTCGGTGATGACTTTTGGCAAACAAATGGTGGTATATCAATCCGCAGTAACAGTTCTTTGCTCATTAAGAGGAATTGTTGCAATATGACCCGCTTGTAACACAAATGTCGCGACCATCTTTTTCGAAACACTTCGAGAACGGATGAGTTTTGTTGGCTTTTCTTCACCTTGGAACACCCAAACAGCCGACTGTCGTTTATTTTCTGGTTCATAACAGTAAATCCACGATTCATCACCACTAACAATGCTGTACACATTTTTTGAGTTTTCGGAGAAACTGTCAAGCGTTTTTTGTCACCAACTAACCCTGGCTGCTTTCTGCTCTTCAGTCAACAGGTGGGGTATTCAACGAGAAACTAATTTCCTTACTCCTAATTCTTCATGTAAATTTTTTTGAATTGAGGTCTTTGAGATTTTCAAGGACGCCTCAATCTCGCGATATGTCACATGTCTATCTTCAATGATGAGTTTGCGCACAGCATCGACGTTTTCCTGGGTGACTGCCGTGTTTGGTGCACCCACCCTGGGATCGTCGCTAAGACTCACCTTCTACGTTAGAATTCTCCATACCAACGGGAAATTGTCGACTGATATGGTGCTTCGTTGCCGAAAACAGACAGTAACTCAGCAAGGCATTCTTGTTGCGATAATTGTCTCTGAAAGTTGTAATAAATTACGGCGCGAAAATGTTCTCAGTTGAGTTCCATTTTTGTAATGACTTGGTGACACTTAAAAATTCACTGTAGTGAGAACATTGTTGTATTGTTGTGAAACTTTGAATTTAAGCTTACTAAATAGTGAGGTTAAGATTCAGGACTGACGTTCGATCCGCGCGGCCTACTATGTTTCTATATGCAAAACTTAAAAGACATCCCTCGTACTAATAATAAATTCCTGTATTTTAGATAGAGAATACCAAAGAAGTCTGAAATTATCCACTACGATGATCTTCGCGCTATAAGTATTTTAACAGTGATATCAAAACTTATCGAGATTAAATTGCACCAACAAATAAGAGATTATTTAATTGAGAACAATTTGTTACCAGACAGACTATCATTCAGGATTTAGGAAGGGTTTCAGTTGCGAAAAGTAGCGATTTTCTGCAAATTCCTGAAAATGCCGAAAACTCAAAAACCGTGCTCAACAGAATAAGGACAGATAGGTATGGTTTTTTTGATGGGAAATTACAGCCCTACCACCCCCTTTCGTTTGATCCATAGCTTTTGGGACACCCTGTATATTGGCCAACCTATATGAAGAAACTATATTGTTAAAAGTTGGATAACATTGGTATACCTACATTTGTGCGCAATGAAGTGTTTTTCAAAAATAATTTTTTTATATTTGGTTTTAAACTGCTTTGGTTGCAGAAATTCTAAATACTTAATTAGGAATTTGATTATAAAGCCGATAAATGTTGTACGAGAAAGATCTACAAAAATAAGACGTTTGATGATGATGAGGTGATATGTAGCCCCGAACTCGCAAATTTAAATGGCCTCCTTGATTTTCATAGTATTTTCTCTCCTTTCTAGATTTCTACTGTTCCGTATCAGCATCAACACTCTCCCATTCTAAGGTTATGTTTTCTATTTGAATTTTAGGAAATTTCAGGCTGATATAACAGGTGATATAAGTCAAAAGCATGAACAATTTGATGCGAATAGATATTTGTAACATAACCTTGAAATAAAGCGCTGACACGGAACAGTAGAAAACTATGAAAATCAAGGAGGCCATAAAGGCGTTGTACAATTGTAGGAACGATTACATGCAAGCAACTCACGTCAACGTCGCACACTCAGGCAGTTTGCGTCAAGCAACTATGCGAAACTCTTAAATCGTAAATGAATGTTAGGCAGGATTTCTGTACATGCTCAATTCTGTCTGTCGATATTGTCTAAACAAAATCCATAATGCTATTCCAAAAATTAAAATGGCTGAGTACTAGTACTTCACAAAGCGATATAACGGGAGGACATATCGCTGAGCATATAGAACTTTCATAGACGCCGCATCAGCTTTCTGGATACATTTATTAATATACTGAGTGACAGAAAAGGTAAACACCTACGTATGTTTATTAGAATTCAAGAATTTTTTACATATCTATTTATCTTGCCATGAACAACAAGTGATATAATGGTCATTTTTATCTGTTAAGTTTTCGTGGTGGCTGCGTGTAGTGTTTGGTGATAAAGAAGCATTCAGTTTTCGTACATTTGCGGCGTCAGTTGAATGTTAAATTTCGTGTAGCTTATTGAGAAGCATTTTTGTGATTGCTCAAAATGCCTAGAGTGCGTAGAATTCGCCAGGTGTATCAGCTAAGTGACTTTGAGAGGGGGTTCGAATTATCGGGTTGCGTGAAGCCGGTCTATCGATAAGAGAAGTTTCTAGGACAGATGCAGTAGTACTCGAACCATCGCTAATCAGTGGTTTGGAGAGCATTGGGTGCTACCTCTCACAGCTGAACATCGGCGTAACCGTTTGCTCTGGTGTAGAGAAAGAATTCTATGGGATCGGGAATGGAATCAGGTGCTCTTTAGTGACGAATCCCGCTTCTGTCTGGGGGTGCACGATGGCCGGGCAAGAGTGAGAAGACGTGACCCACAATTTGACAAACAGCGTCACGTTCACCACACCGTGGGATTTATGGCATGGGGTGCTATCGCTTATGGTAGCAGACCACCACTAATTTTCATCAAAGGCAATATGACAGCCCGACGCTATATTCAGGAAGTAGTGAAGCCTCATCTTATTCCATACCTAAACACCATCCAGAACCCGATTTTTCAGCAAGACAATGCTAGACCGCATGTTGCCAGCGCATTGTTAGCCTTCATGGATCAACATCGCATCAACCGTTCACCTTAGCCATCACGATCGCCTGACCTATCTTCAATTGAACATGTCTGGGACATGACAGGTCGCAGGCTCTTGAATTTGTAACACCCTCCACAGACTTAAGCAGCTCTTACTGACGAAGTTGCAGTAGCCTGGAATGAGATACCGCAACAGGATATCGATCACCATATCAGCACGGTGCCAAGGCGTGTCAATGAGTATATAAGAAATCGTGGATCCTCAATACATTATTGAAGCAACTTCTGCAGTCAGTTGACGAATCAAGCTGAACACTTAATGATTTTATTAGTAAGGGACACTGAACCTATAGGTATGCCAAAATTAGATAAACATACGTAAGTGTTTACCTTTTTTTGTCATTCAGTATATCAAGCTTGAATCTACTTCTATATTTCTCACAGTGGCCGAACAAGGTAGGTATAGATTTGCTTCTTCTTATTTTGGCATGAGAAGTAGGCTCAATATTGTCTTTCAATCTGCCAAATAACATGGTATGTAGACCACGATTATCCAAGAATACCACTAATCTTTCAATATCTCTATTAATAATGGTCAGGGCATCACGCTTCTCGTTAAAACTAAGTATCGTCAGCATACAAATGTAGGTACCTGACAATTTCGGAGACACTGGGAAAGGTTTTAGGTATAAATACTAAAAATGAGATGATCGAAAATGGAGCCTTGTGGTATACCTGACAGGATGACATCTTTGGATGAACTCCCTCTGTCTGTTTCTACGTATTGTCAGTTATATTTAACCGTGCAGTTTGGCAACTGAAACCCTTCCTAAATCCTGATTGATAGTCTGGTAGGTAACGTATTGTTCTCAATTAAATAATCTCTTATTTGTTGGTCCAATATAATCTCGAGAAGTTGGTAAAATACTTATGGGGCCAAGATCGTCGTAGTCGCTAATTTCAGACTTCTTTGGTATTCTCCATGTAAAATACAGGAATTTATTATATTAGTAGTGTAAGGGATGATTTTACGGGAACAGAATAAGATCATTTCAAGATTTATACCGTCAGCACCCATGGCAAGCGATTTAGGTATCCTCGTTTATAACCAGGCGCTAGAGATAGAGGAAAGGAAACAAATTTGAGACAAGCGCCTAATTTGAGACAGTGGCGTAACTTTGTATCTTTGTAGCACCATCTTCTAGTAATACCAAAAAGTGTGAACTAAGAAGCAGTAGTATTCTACATGTGATTGCAGTTTAGCTTTGCACATGGTTTGCTGTGACATCACAACTTGTTACTTCTTGAGAGTTAAAAATATTTTTAATAGTGCGAGAAAAGTGATAACTAAAATTAAGTTATTTAGAACAATTGTCTGATGTAAATCTAGTAGTTTATAAATACCTTATTTATTTTCTTTTACAATATTGTGGTTTTATTAGGTGTATAACCTAAATAGGCTTGTGTAAACTTTTTAAGGGAAAAATCCTAATTTGAGATACCCAAGTTTTCCTAATTTGAGACTATCTCAAATTAGGGCCCTGTATCAAGAAGCAGATGCCTGGAAACACATGAGTAAGGAGATGGATTATTTAAAAGCCTCAAAAGGATTCGGAAAGATACCTTTCCCCTCAGAACAAAGCAACATGAAAGCGATGTTGAATGTTTATTTTGTACGGGTCGATTTTCCGAAGATAAGGGTGAAAAATGAACAAAATCATTGTAGTAAATGTAGTAAATTCACAAAAATGTTTACTTTTTTAAAATATACTTTTTGTCTATAAAAAATATATTTAATATATTTTTTTTTTATTTTAGATTATGCTAGGAGCATCAAATCGCAAGTTTATTTGAAAATATACGCTCGTTTAAAACAACAAGTATTTTATTTGTCCTTTTCAAAAAAGTATCTCAAATTTGGTTCCTTTCCTCTATCGTCATACATTGCTTCGTCTTTATGCCTTCCTCGCTGTCAGCGCAGTTTGTCAAACATTTGTTGAGAGATGGATGTTTAACGAAAGTCGAAAAAATATTTTGCAATTACCTTATCGAATTCCTCCAACCAGGCCCTCTCGTCCTGAAGTAAGGATAGTGATCCAGGATATGTTGGTAGATATCAGATAGCACTAATTTGGCTTCGGGGGAACTAAGGATCGCCATTGCTATAAGCCCGATATAACTATGTTGAGGTTTTGGCTCTTCAGGTTGAAGAGCCCTCGGAAACAACGGGTAACACGTCAAAGTCGAGGGAAAAGGATTCAACAACGGATACCGAAGTCTCTCAGCTACCGCATATTGGTACAACTGCAGTCTATATTGGTCTAAAGGCAACAATGACCTGGGTGGATTGCTCGTATCGAACAAAAACGGAGTTGGTAACTTCCCGGCGGTTGTATTCGGAGGAGTTTCGTTACTGCACATAGTTATCACTGAGTTTCACCACTGGACGCACTTTTTCATATCTGACTTGTTGCTAGCATCTAACCGGTCACTTAAATCATTAATCATGATCTGTCGTTCGGGAGTGAGTAAACTATACTGTACTAAGAACCCATCGGGACATCCAAACATTGTAACAAACACGTACTATTTGTCGACCAATATTTGCCAACAGACGAAAGGCGTGGTTTACGCTCAGCCAATAGCGTGCTGGATCGCCCTACCAAAGATGTATAATCTCCGCCTCGCCATATTGTTAAACTCGGATACCGTGTCTCTGGATACCTCCTTTATCAGACCAACAAAGAGGGTAGCTGCCCCAAAATCTTTACTTTTTACTTGGAAATCCATAAAATTTGCATTTTAATCTACAAACTGTATATAACCAAATCGTTGCGCGTTTTGTCGCTCACCATCCCCATTTTCATTCGGAATAAGCTTCAAACCTTATAGAATATTTGGCTGGTTTCATGAGTTGATTACCAAACGTATTTATACCCACCTATATCATACATTGTGAAAATAGAATTAAATTCAATAATAATAATATTTCTTTATTCAACGAACCATCAATCAATCCAATTTGAAACCTGGTGTTCTAGATAACTAAAGAGGAAAGGCACACATTTGAGATACTTACTTTTTTGGAAAGGAAAAATAAAGTACATAAGTACTTGTTGTTTTAAACGAGCGTATATTTTTAAATAAACCTGCTCCAGCATAGTCTAAAATAAAAAAAATATTATCAAATGTAGATATTTTTTTACGGACAAAAAGGATATTTTAGAAAAAGTACCTAAACATTTTTGGGAATTTACATCTGGTTCCCTAATTTGAGATACTATTAAAAAAATCCCTTTCTTTTGCAGAAAGTGCAAATGAACATTTTATTGGTAATCTCTTCACAATCTTTATGTGCCCATATACAACAATGGCTGTATTTTGCCCATTTTCACCCTTCTTATCTTCGGAAAATCGACCCGTACAAAATAAACATTCAGCATCGCTTTCATGTTGGTTTCGTCTGAAAATGAATCATCCAACTTAAGGCTTCCGCTGGATTCTGAACTTGAACTGGAGGGGAATGTATCCATCCGAATCCTTTTGAGGCATCCATCTCCTTACTCTTGTGTTTCCAGGCATCTGCATCTTGATATTAGGAATTAGAAATTTTCCGGTAAAAAGCTTACACAAGCATATTTAGGTTATATACCTAATAAAATCACAATATTGTAAAAGAAAATAGGTATTTGTAAACTACTAAATTTACATCAGACAATTGTTCTAAATAACTTACCTTAATTTTAGTAACCACTTTTCTCGCACTATTAAAAATATTTTTTAACTCTCAAGAAGTAACAAGTTGTGATGTCACAGCAAACCATGTGCAAAACTAAACTGTAAACACATGTAGGATACTGCTGCGTCTTAGTTCACAACTTTTTGGAATTACTAGAAGATGGTGCTACAAAGATACAAAGTTACACCACTGTCTCAAATTAGGCGCTTGTCTCAAATTTGGTACCTTTCGTCTATTTTGGGAGGTGATCATATATGTTGTTACCTTTTCGCCCACAACAAATACATTGCTTGTATGTGTTCCTGTAATTTTATTTCATCATTTGATTGGCCAGTTTTAGACAGAACCGTATTTGAAAATTTGTGATAGTAGACTAGAAATTTAAAATCAGCTTTCATTAAGACTAAGAAAATGAAATTAAACACACTCATACTGAGTTCATTTAATAAAGATATGTTTATCAAAAATACATACAACCTAGGTAAACATGAACAAGAAACTAATTTTTTGGTTTAATCTGGTCCTGCACTGTCGACTTTGAACCATCATAGTGTTTACATATTTTAAGCAATTTCTCACAGCGACTGTCTCATCTAGCCTGCTTTCACTATATACAGGGTGATTCACAGGTCGTAACCAAAAATGAAACATCATACACAGGACCGCATTTTGAGGGGGGTCTTCTATGTAACATTTTTTCCTCCAAAGATACGAGGTGTTGAAGTTTAAATATAAAAAACAATTTTTTTAATATCTTCAAAACCGTCAACTGGAATGAACTGAAATTTGGTATGTGGATTTACCTAAGTATTGTTCACATTCAGAAATCTTCACTTAAAATTAACGTGCACCAGTGACGGAGATACGGGGGACTAGTGGCATTGTATTTCCAAATAAAAATAGTACGCCACTGCTTTTTTTCGAAACACGCATTTTCTCGAAGTTTGCCTTCAATGTGCTACAAATAATTACTCTTGTGCTTTTCTCCTAGAATGCACTCTTTGCGTAAAAATAAGAGAATTAAATCATTCATGGAGTGCCGAGATACAATCAGTGTCAAAATAAAATAGGAGGCCTTGATACTAACTTGACGTTTCTTAGAAGATAGTTTGTCAAAGTTATGTGTTAGGTATGCAGCTGTTATCGATACTACTACCATTTTTTTTTGTAAAAGTTAAGTCAAAGGTTTCTTTTTTCCATTTTTGAGTGTTGTGAAATGGAATTTAGCAATCATGAGTAAGTACGCCAATATGATTTTTGTGTATGGGTTGCGTAATGGAAATGCCTTAGCGGCTTCTCGGAAGTATCAACGTAGATTCACTAACAGACGCCAACCTACCCCAAAGGTTTTTACGCGTTCATTTTTAAGATTTCGGTACAAGAGCGGATTCAGGATTTCGTTAAGGGGGGGGGGGGGTTGCGCAAACGATATTTGGAGCTGGTAATTTTTCTACCTAAGTGGAACTTCTACAGCTTATCCTATTATTGCTCCTTAAATCCATTGTGTTTTATCTGTTCAATGCCAGCTTGAAAAAAAATATGGAAAGTGCTCAGAAATCCTCAGAAAGGCAATATTTTATTATATGAGAACAAAAGAATTACGTAGCATTTTTAATTAACTAGTGTAATAATATTAAAGATTAAAACATAAAAAACTTCATTTCTCTGTTAACTAAAAAAAACATTTTGAGGGACCCCGAGACATATCCCAGCCATTCCACACAAAACAATGTCTTTGATAGCGAAAACGAGCATGAGACCGAAAAATTCACATTATCGTATGGACGCTAGACGAGACAAAGGATATATCTATAGACCATCTGTAGATCGTGTCTTGAGACCATCTCCAGACTGCTTATAGACAAATTGCGCAAGGGGGTCTACTAGTGTGTACTAAGCTTAAGGATTCATACTCTGAACTACCCGTTAAACAAATCTAGTAATTCGTGTACTGACACAATCAAGCACTTCTATTTTATCAGCAGGTGATAAAAATATCAATAGGTATAGTCAATTATATTTTGAAATCCAATATACCTAGATGTTACAGTTATTCTTCATACTTTCGTTGTCGAACTTAGATTTACGGCATAGTTGTTGTTTTCTCAGATTTCGAATCGGTGTTGATCGCATGTAAAAATGTTGGAAATCTTTGGAAGAAACTGTATATGTTAGATCGTAATTATTTTGATAATGTATGCTTGTACGAAACAAGAACAGTGATACAGGGCTCTACATATTCACGTGTAGTGCAGAAGCTCTGTGACTTAAACAAATTCCAATATAGCAACATAAATAGAAACATACGCGGGAAGAAATGCGGGACGTGTGGTATTGACTGTGAGCATCCATCGACGCATTTTCTGGACAGGCCACAGGCGCATCGCTAAGCAAATCTTATACCTAAGTAAATGTATATTTCCAATCTAGGCGTTCATCTAACATTATAAGTAGTCTAATCATATTAGCAAATTTCCCCGAAATAATTGCAAAATCCGGTTTTATTGGTGCAAGTTGTTCAAAGGGGTATTTTAAACATGGAACGCATAAAATAGTTACACCAATTTTTGTGGGAAAACTTTTTATTTGACAACAACGAATGAGAAAACGTGTTTTTTGGGATTCAATCGAAAGTGTTGGCAGGAACGAAAAAACTCTTTATATAAGATTTTTCGGTATTTATAAGACCTACATAATGAGACCTCACGTGAAAAGATCCGACTAATATCAAAAGTGTTATAGCCGAAAAACCAGGCAAAATGCAAGTTTTGGCACTTGTTGGTAATGCGACGACAGTTTCTCGCCCGTACATTGGCCTGCGAGGTCTCCTGATTTGAACCCCTTGGATTTCTTTTTGTGGGGCGTGTGAGCAAATTAATACTGTTGACCAATTACAAGAAAGAACAGATAATGGGTTCCATCAAATTCAAGCCACAACAAATTTTGCGGAAATACGTTTTTCTTTATTAAAGAGTTGCCGCACTTGTATCCGTCAGAATGGTGTTTTTTTTGAACATTTATTGAAATAAAGCTTTGATTATCTAATATGTTTTTTTTTTATTTTTACGAAAGCAGTACACTCTAGGAAAACACACAAGAGTAATTATTTATAGCAAATTGATGGTAAAATTCGAAAAATTACGCGTTTCGAAAAAAAAAACAGTGGTGTACTATTTTTATTTGGTAAAATAATGCCACTAATCTCCGTATCTCCGCCACTGGTGCACGTTAATTTTAAGTAAAGACATTTGAATGTGGAAAATAATCAGGTAAATCCACATACTTTTTATTTTTAAACTTCAACACCCCGTATCTTTTTAATGGAGCCCTCGAGGAAAAAATGTTGTATAGAAGACCTCCCCCTTAACACATTGGCTGCCATGCGCTTTACTTTGCAAAAAATAATGCGGAACCAAACAAA